ATCCTTCAGCCATGATGACGCTCTACAGTTTATCATCCCACTAACAGCTCTGTCTGGCATTGAGCAAGACCTTTGCCAATGACACTATTCAAGGCTATAAGCAAGCATTAAACATACGCTGCAACTCCAGCGTCAGCAGGACGAAGAAAACACTGTTTCCAGAAGGACTGAAGCATTTATGATGATGCTGCCGACCTTGCAGCTGTCAGTAAAATTTATTCTCAGCTGAGAAACACTTCTATTTCTCAGGTTATACTCTTATATTTCTCAAGACATTATATTTTGAGTCAAGAAAATTAAGCCTATTTAAAGCCTTTTTTCCCAGAGAAATTAAACACATTTCTCCTAAACCGTAAAACCAAAGTTTCCAAGTGACAATTTACCCAAACTGCAAAACTACCGAGCGACACAAAAACAGGAGGTATTTGTTTTTCATGTCCTGGACTTTAGATAAAGCCCATTTATTTTACGGCGGGCAACCAACTTGTATTATTATTGTTAGGGATGCACCGATATGAAAATTTTGGCCGATACCGATAACCGATTATTCTTTATTTTTGAAAGCCGATAACCGATATGTTGGCCGATAAATCTATATCCAAATGAATTTGATCTAAAGTAAAGAAAAACTAATACATAAACACCAAAGTATGCACTAGATTTGACAAAATATCACAATTTTCATTTAGGAACGGTTGTCGTCAAGTAAGTTTCATTTATAATGACCCTCTTTTTAACCCTTGTGCTGAAAATCCATTGCTTAATTTAGTGTTCCTGGTAATAAATGTAAAACTGCTTATAAATCTCTCATTATGGTAAATGAATCACCTTGTATATTCATCTTAAACTTGCTTTCTTTTAATTAGAGCACAGGTTTCGTATTTCTTTTAGCAAAAGACTGATTGCGGGCCTCGTTAATCTGAGTCTTTGAGTGAAAGACGCATTATTTGTGGATCATTTTGCCAATATTCACCCAAAAAACTGAGGGGCATAAGCTCAGATCAATGAGAACAGTCAGCTTCGAAACTGTGCTGTCTGAAAGAAAACAAGTTCATAAAAAGACTGAATCCAATAGTTATTAATAATATGAGTGATAACAAGAATAAGCAATTTTTGTAGGCCAATAATTCTTGGGGGGGGGGAATCTCAAAATTGCAAAAAATATATATGCAAGTTATTATACCCTGTATTTGTTGTTATTATGTATATAAATAATTAAACCCTGTGTGAGCAAAGTCTTAGTCTTAGTCCAATGCAATAACATTAACTAGCATTTTTGGGAAAAGGTCAAAATGACCAGTCGAAACTTTCAATTTTTTTGAATCAGTATAACCGATATGCGCAAAACATATCCTCTCTGGTTGCAAACATCATTATTTCGTTACGAGGAGCGCAGCTGCGAGAGAGGGAACAGCTCGCAGAATTAGCAGCTGACATTATGATGTAACGTTGCGATTTTCTAAAAAAAGGAAATTTTAGCAAACATCGCATGTCTGGTCCATGTACATGGATGTAATTTAGTAAGGGGAATTTGATCTAAAGTAAAGAAAAACTAATACATAAACACCAAAGTATGCACTAGATTTGACAAAATATCACAATTTTCATTTAGGAACGGTTGTCGTCAAGTAAGTTTCATTTATAATGACCCTCTTTTTAACCCTTGTGCTGAAAATCCATTGCCTAATTTAGTGTCCCTGGTAAAAAAAATTAAAACGGCTTATAAATCTCTCATTATGGTAAATGAATCACCTTGTATATTAATCTTAAACTTGCTTTCTTTTAATTAGAGCACAGGTTTAGTATTTCTTTTAGCAAAAGACTGATTGCGGGCCTCGTTAATCTGAGTCTTTGAGTGAAAGACGCATTATTTGTGGATAATTTTGCCAATATTCACCCAAAAAACTGAGGGGCATAAGCTCAGATCAATGAGAACAGTCAGCTTCGAAACTGTGCTGTCTGAAAGAAAACAAGTTCATAAAAAGACTGAATCCAATAGTTATTAATAATATGAGTGATAACAAGAATAAGCAATTTTTGTAGGCCAATAATTCTTGGGGGGGGGGAATCTCAAAATTGCAAAAAATATATATGCAAGTTATTATACCCTGTATTTGTTGTTATTATGTATATAAATAATTAAACCCTGTGTGAGCAAAGTCTTAGTCTTAGTCCAATGCAATAACATTAACTAGCATTTTTGGGAAAAGGTCAAAATGACCAGTCGAAACTTTCAATTTTTTTGAATCAGTATAACCGATATGCGCAAAACATATCCTCTCTGGTTGCAAACATCATTATTTACATTACACTCTAATCACTGGATCACGATTCCTCCAAAGAGAAACTCTTTAACAAAAGCTTCTTGTGAACGTTCTATTAAATGTCATTTAAAGGGACAGTAACCAAACAAACAGCTGATGGTAGCCATTGATTTCCACTGTAGGGAAGATAATACTATGGAAGTCAATGGCTACCAGCAACTGTTCAAAATATCTTCTTTTGTGTTCAACAGAAGAAAGAAACTTGAGTGAACTAGGCCTTTCAATGTCAAAACAAACTAACCTAAATAAGCCAGTCCAGCTATGAAATTTACATCCAACCTTTTTCTTTTATCACCCGATGGCAAACAGCACTACTATTATCTCACAGCTTTGCTTGCAAGCAATGCCATGTTCAGCCTCCGAAGTCCATGTCTCCACCATAGCAACCCATCAGTGCAGTAATAAGTGCCCCTGAGACACAGTAACAACCAGTGTGAACTCAACTAAAGGACTGTCTAATACACTAACATGGTCTGAAGAAACACACCAGTATACTGTTGTGACATTGCAAATACAGCCGCTCAGTCGTGATGTCAATTTGCAGGCCAGTCGAGAAGGATAACGTGCCATGGCTACCGCAGGGATTTCCTATGACCTGTTTTAAAAAGCAGCTTTTGTTTTATGTCTGTGCTAACATTACTCGAACAGACTTACATGCTTTGTTCTACAACAGAAATTACATTATTTTAAAAACGCGAGTTGCTGAAGGGCTACAGTGATTGTCAGATTCATCAAGCACATAAACGCTAAATGCGGTAGTTGTTCGTTTCATCGTGGGAACAGATTTGGAGAAATGTAGCACTGCATCAGTGTCTCAGCAATGGATGCTCTGCAGTGAATGGGTGCCGTCAGAATGAGAGTCTGATAAAAACATCACAAGTAATCCACACCACTCCAGTCCATCAGTTAATGTCTTGAGAAGACAAAAGATGCGTGTTTGTAAGAAACAAATCCACCATTGCACAACTTTTTTCAGTCTAGGAAGAGTTATGATGGATTCATATTTTGGTTTGAAGTTAAAAACTGATGGATTTGTTTCTTACAAACATGCAGCTTTTGGCATCTCAAGAATTAACTGATGGACTGGAGTGCAGGTGTGGATTATTGTGATGCTTTTATCAGACGCTCATTCTGACGGCACCCATTCACTGCAGAGCATCCATTGCTGAGACACTGATGCAGTGCTACATTTCTACAAACCTGATGAAGAAACAAACTCAACTACGTCTTGGATGTCCTGAGGGTGAGAGCATTTTCAATTAAATGAAATCTTTTTCTTTCATTCTGAACATCTGAAAGAAATCCCGGTGGGAGCCCTTTGCTCAAAAATGCTCATTCTCCTCCAGATGTCAGGATTACAAGCGGAGGAGCTCCTTTGAGGAAAAGCGAATCCAGCGAAATTAATATGAGATGACCGGCTATATTCCACGCTTCCATCATGAAAATTAAAAATCGGGAACCATGCATTTGACAAATACATCAGAGCACGTGTTTGAGAAATCTGCATGCTCAGCATCAGACAGAGACCATGACCCAGCTCAAAATTACAGTATCACAGTTACCATGTCACAGCAGACCAACCCACTCACTGTGATAGAAATAATGACCTCTGCAGTGCACCAGACCATCTTTGCAAGCTACTGTTGTGCAAACCTGAAATCCAACTCAGTTTAAGGTTTTCATTGCAGACTGCACACTTAAGTATTTTAGTATATTAAGGGCCATTGAGATCCGCACTTTTTTTTTTTTTTGCACTTAAAACAAGAAATTCAACAGTGAACTTTATGTAAATCCATGCATAAAGCCAGATTATTAACACTTAGTCCGTGAATAGCTACTTTCTACAAACTCAAAAAATATAGAAAACTCCACAGATTATATTAATTCGTTTAATTTGTCAACGTAAAAAAAAAAGTGCATTTTAATTAGGAGATCAGTATGCATATTCTAAAATGCTGAGCAAACGTGGGAACTCTAAACTATAGAATAAACTCTCAAAATAAATAAGTTATACGAGCAGTGTGAGGTCTATGCGTTTACATATTTCTATAAAACCGAAGAACAAAGTGATGACTAAAGATGCATTACTTATCATTTTTTGCAAAAGATCTAATCAACTTAAGCTGACTGCCGTGCTGATGCCAACTCTATAAGACAGTTTTAAAGCACGAGAGTTTGAGAAGAGCCTTACCTGCTCACTTTGAGCGCTGCTTGACAAGCTTTGCGCGAGATGCGGAACTCTCAGTCACTCACGCGCGACCCGTCCACTCCGCGGAGGGGGGGGGGCGCGTGCAGTATTAGTGGATGCATGCCTCTTTA